ACGATTTCTCGAAAGATGGTTAAGTTTAACCTAGGATTAAGCCAAATTTCAAGCACGGTTTTCTCATCTAAGAACATGCAACTCGGGGTTACAAAATATTGTTGAGTCTTTACTATGAGACAGTAATGATAACACAAAATGCTACCCTAAGCAATGCATAGGAATGTAAAATACAAAAACGGAACAAAATTTTAATCCTGGATTAAAGCTAATCGGCCTTTCGAGAACCGGGCCGGACCTGGTGTTTACGAATTTACCTTTGATTAGTCCACAGTCTGATTTCTTAGTGCATTATTCGAATGGTTTTGTTTTGCTAACATGCTAAATTATGGGGTAAGACTTCCGTATAACCTCACATGTTTCCACTGTATTCAAATCAACTATTTGTCCAAAATAGTATATATGAAATTGTTGTGTACACAGGTACGGCGAACGGTCGAGTTTGCAGGTAAACCCCTTCGTCTAAGAAGATCACGAAAGCAGTGCGATAGATACTGATCTCAAATTGTATTTTTGTGCCAAATCACAGAAAAGCGTTCGGATGAGTCTTGGAACTGGTCTGTTGAGGGCAGCATCCCAGGGGCTCTCTCGCCAGTTCTTGAAAATTTTCGCCGCCCTCTTTTCCAGACCTGACTAACCGCCCCTGGGTCTCCGAGGATATGTCCTTTTCAGAACGGCCCCATTGCCACCAAATTCCTGCCCCAGCAGACCTGCACCGTTTTAAACCTCTTATTTCACTGGTCCCCTTTAATCTGCACTTCCATTGTTTTCAGGGATAGGGGCACTGTGATGTAACAATCCCTATTGTTTTCCCAGCTAATAAAAAACAATCTTTCACAGGGGCGGATCCAGGATTTTTCTTAGGAGGGGGTGCAGCACTAAGGGATGGCGTAACTGATCGATGACGTAAACAAATTTTAAAACCGAATATGAAGAAGAAGGCTTTTGACTAGGCAATAACATAATGTGAGCTGCTGAGAATACATATCAAACGATTCAGCAAATTTTGTATTAGCTGCAAAGCGACTGCACAGTGTTAATTAGAAAGCTGCAAGCCATCTCGGGGGGGTGCACCCCCTGACCCCCTGCACCTTCCCCCTAGATCCGCCCCTGTTTCAAATAGGTGCGGGATCGCCCCATTCCTCACTGTGTCAAACTAAATGAACCCTTTTTCCTAGGACAAACCTGCAAGTTTTACATATATCAGTTATCCTAGACAATACTCTTGAGGCTTACGCCCCTACTTGACTCCTTTTGGTGACCCATAGCTTCTACGAGACCAAAACCCCAGCAATGTACAACCTGTTGTTCAATTCTCGCAATAGAATATGGGAATGGAAAATATGGCTTTTACACCAGTTAATATTTAAATAGTCTTGTCTTGTCTAAGAGAACATTGTTTGTATCAAACACAAATTTAGCACAAGTGAAAACACGGTATTACCAGAGCCTTACAAAAAGCAACCCTTTCAGTTTTGTTAAAGACAAGTTTTCATTTCATTTGGTGTTCTTTGGTGTTGATGCTAAGAGAAATTTTAGCCTCACTAGAAGTCCTGCAAATGAGTTTGTACAGGTTATTGTAGATATCGTAATTGTCACGGTGCATTTACATGTACTTGACGAGAAGTATTCATGACAAGTACTCAGTGACAGAACTACGTATAATTATTTGGAACCACTTAGCAATAATAGCTTGTATTCACAGTTTTGTTTAACAAATTACGACTGAGAGTTACCTTGTATATATATCAATTACCAAATATTATGTATAAGAGGCTGGCTAAATAATTTACCTTTAATATTTTTATGCATTGTCTCGTTTTAACATGATCATGTTTTGTGATTTGCTAAATAAAGCTCACGCCGAGCGATTTGCAGCAAAGCGAAAAACGTGCCGCTTACCAAAGCATTTTCACGCGCTTGACGTAAGCTGCAACAACCAATGGCACACCCCGCAAACATGTCACTGACGTAACTGCGGCGCTGTTCATGTCCAAGGGCAATGACTGGTGCATTGGTGAAGGAAAGTTTGTCAAGCGAGTTTGTCGTTGACGAATTTGTGTCTAACGGCGGCGAGGATTTGTGTCGAATTGACGAGTGGGTGTCTGTAGTTTGACGAAATTTCGACCGCATAAAACGCTTTCTATAGAGTAAACCACGGCACATTTGGCTTCGATGTTTTCTGATTGTGGAGCGTGGTTGTACATTACGAACAGCGGCAAATAAAACCAAGGCCAAATCTCTTAATTGCCAGATAAGTTCACAATTTATTCACCTATTTGTCGGCAAATGTAGTTTACCCGCATACCAAAGTAAACGTGAATAGCCAAGGCGGTCAAGCTTGAGTTCAAGAACAGGTATACAACTTACAACTAAGTGGGAACGAAAAGTAAGACGGGGACACTATACTGAACGAAAAAAACGACACGAGGATAATAAAAGAGAGGTACTAAAATGACAAATACAGAAGATACTTAGTATCTCAGTGAATGGTTTACTCAGTAACTTTAACAGTAAATTTAAGTAACTAATGACTTAAATCTCTTCTAGTTAGCCCGTGGCGTACTCTTCATTTCGTAATTAAAAATTATAGGGACCTGAGATTCAAATTGATCGACTGATTACGTTATCTGACTGATTAAGTATTAGTGGTATGGGACAGACGTGTATTAGGCGTGTGCTTAGAAGTCAAGCACAGTTAACGTTCTGAGCAGTCATGCGCTTTTTTTTCCCCATATTCTAAATTATCCCTTTTCAATTACGAGAAAAATAATGATATTAGGTGAAGGGAAAACGGAGTGTGCACAAACAAAAAAAAAAGAGAGAGAAGGAAAAAAGCAAGACCTGGAGAACATAAGTCCGTGAAATAACTTGAGGAGGGCACATATTAGTAGACTTGCTTTTAAGTCGACATCATTAGCCCTGGCCTGAGGAAAAGGCTACAATGGTTTAACTGCTTTTGGCTGTGGTTTGTCATGTGTGCGAACAAAGAAACCTCTTGAAAATCAACCTCCTGGGATGAAACAATAATTTGAAGGGCAAAGCAAGCATATTCGGGGAGAGGGAAGGGGAGAGATGTTTAAACCGCAGACCTCTAACCGCGCAGGATTAGCTTAGTCGGTAGAGCGCTTGACTGCAGAGCTGGAGGTCGCGGGTTCGATTCCCGGGGTCGGAACAATACTCAGGGTCTTAAAATAACTGAAAAATGAAGGTATTACCTTTGCCCTGCAAATGGCTAGACCCTCGCGTGACTCGGATGACCACGTTAAATGGCGGTCACGTCACGTCTCCAGTAGGAGACGTAAAAAAAGTGTCCCCAGTTAGTACTTTTGTGCTAAATACATTGACACTCAAAGAGAAGGCTTTTTTTTGTCAACCATTTTTATCGAGAAGTAATCTTTCATTTTCCCTATAAAAATTACCCCTTGCACAAGTTTTGGCTAAACCATTAGAGGCTTTTGCCAAGCTTTTACTAACATGGCTGGCTGAGTGATTTGCAAAGAGTGTCAAAGGCCAATGTTTTTCCCACTATTTTCCCTGAGTCATCTGGTGAAATCCATTTCCCTCTTACAACGCCCCTGTAAGCAAAGTGAACCTTTTTGTGTGGCTGCCTCTTGTTTAGCCCATTTTAGATTGAGAGAGTACCCTACACACTGAAAGTTTTTCCCCTTACATAAATTGCAAACGATGTTCAGCGTCTTTGAGTTATTAATGACATGATAAACCATCCACTAGGACTACCGAAATACTGGTAATCCCCTATAACTAAAACCAGCTAAGGGTGATCATCATAGTTTGACCGACTTGTCAGTCAAACAACTCGCAGTTTGATGAAGGGCTTGTGTAACTATGCTGGGAGGAAGTGACATAATGGAATATCAACAATTTATAATCTTCTACAACTATCAACCGGATTTGTAAACCTTTAACTGGCTTACAAAGGATCTTCCAGTCCTGGTCAGCCGTTGACAACATAAACAAGACTCGGAAAAAGCCAAACCTATAAAAGAGTAAAACTTAAGACTCAGATAGTGGTAACGATTTCTCCAGGTAAATAAATCAGACAGGTTTAATAGAAATACAGTTCTAATACAATTCTCGATTAGTCATGGTTAGCACCCCAATAGGGCGGCCATTGAAATGAAAGCTACCGTATTTGTTCGAATGACCGCCCTAGGCGCTTATTAAATTTTTGGACCTTGAGAGTGGGCTCTTATTCAATTTTCAACATTTTCAGCAAGTGTAGTATGTTTATTTTGCAACAAAACAATAAATGGTAATAACAAAACGCGAAGATGTCACAAAGCAAGGTTTGTGTCAAATACTTTGAAGAAAACTCCGTCTTCGGGGAAGTCTCTTATTAGAACTCATTCAATTTTTTGGGGATTGGGAGGAGAAAGAGGATGGGGTTGGGGTGGGCACTTATTTGAGTTTTCAGTGAGAGTGGGAGGGAGGTGGGGTGGGGTGGGGTGGGCGCTTATTAACTTTTTCTGCCTTTAGGATGGGCGCTTATTCGAGGTTGGGCGTGTATTCGAATAAATATGGCAATCTGTTCTTTCAAGAAATTTTGTGACTAAGTTGCAGAGGCTGGTTTTAACTGTTGTTCCTAAACCGATGACATCTTTCAAATTAAAACTTCCAATGATAGCAGCAGAGCGGTTTTTTCCCCTGCGGTGCTGTTTACTATACTGTAGAAGCGGATGTTCCTGCTCTTGAGTAGGTATATGAAGCTCTAAATTTGGACTTTTCAGAGTAGTACCTTCCCTTGTTGCTGCTAATTATAAGGAACAAGCGGTTATTCGTACGTCTGAACATCGACGAAACATTCCGAGGTACGACTATTCCAAAAAGACGTTTTATTAAGAACTTTTCTACATGTTGAATCAATGTTGACTTTGGTAAATCTCGGTTGTAAATGAGTCTCGATTACAGGGCTTTTCAAAAGAAATAGAGGGGAATGCCCTAAAAACGAGGCTGAGTATATGGTTGAATAAACTTAATTAACACCCGCCATCCAAATAACAAGCCCTAAAGGACTTGATCATTTTCACTGTTGATTTTGTAGATATATTAACTGAGCGAGAGAGCATTACCTGTTTGAGCGGAAGAGTCCCCGTTTCTTCTTTTTCAGAGGATGACTTAAAGGATACAACTTCCAGACCCACAATACGAGAATCTCCGTTAGCTGACTGGCAAACTCGACATATTTGTGGAATGAAGCAACAGTCCTTTTCAGGAACGAAAATACTGTTTAATTTAAAACCTACGATTGAATAAAGGAAGGGTCAGTACGCTTCCAACCATCTTCTAACCTGGGAAACCCCAGGGCCCTTTCTTATTATAAAAGATGGGTACTACAGGAACATACAGGGGGACAAAGTTAGCCGCATAGCCGCTAAAAGAGTGAACGGATAATAAGAGCCCAAGCTCCAAATGGTGTGCGGTTAGTACTCCATTTATGACCCTATGGAAGTTGTTTTGTGATCCCAGATGGCGGTCACACGTTACTCTGCCACGTATGTGCATGACCAACGAAGCGAAAAACATATGTTTATGCACTTGTTTGAGTCACGCCAACATATTATGGGTAAAAAGCTGGAGTGTTCACCTGTCTATCAAAAACATTTGCTTCTAAACTTTTCCTTGATTTTCAGCAGACAGAAAACCTGGGGGCTTTTTACTATCGTGTAAAATCTACGTGTCTAAATAAAACAAAGGCGATGAATGGAAGGTGGCGCGTAAACGTAAAAGATGAGCGAGGTTCCTCATTAGGACCAAAAGCCGTGAAATGCAAGGAGAACAGACAGCAGAGAGGAGCATATGCAAACTGTAATTAGGACTTTAAGGGTTAACGATTTGGTTGTAAAGGTAGGGTTAAAAAGGGTGGGATGAGACTTATCCAAGAGGGTGACTTAATAACCTCTCGTGCTTTAAAGGAGGGGCTTAAGTGAGAAGGGGAGGGTAAACAAAGGATTGACGATACCTCTTTTATCACAGTTATCGTTACTGGGAGGACATTTCACTTACTGACTACAAACACAGTAATAACAACAACACAGTAACAAAACGATACAATAAACCATGGATTCAAATGGAATAAAATGTGAAAAGCTGTACATCATACCTGGAGAAAGATCCTTTTGAAGATCGACCAAAGGACTTAAGTTTAAGGCCTGGCAAGATGCTGTGTCGATAACAAGAACGTTTTTGTCGTCCAAGAAACACCTCAATCTGTCGGGAATTTCATTTAGAGTAGGCTTGGAGGAAAAAGAACCTGTAAAGACCAAAATGAATCTCAGTCATAATGTACTACTTGCTATTGTCACAGTCAAATTTGGCGAAAAAGATTCTAACTGCTGACACAGCAGCTGGGAATGCCGTATAACCACACACACAGTAAGGTCGAGTAGGTTTTTACTAGAATGCGGTATTGAGGTAATTCTGTCATTGAAAAAAAAATGCCCTTCAAAATTTATGCAGGTGTGGCAAGCGGGGCGCTGAAATTGATTTTAAATCACAGTCAATACCGTCAATTATGTAGACTTAATTCATGAGAAAACAGGACCGTAGCTTAGTCGCGTATTTCAAACAAAGTCTCATCGCGTATTTCTCTTGTTTGCTCAGTTAAGCATGCGTAATGGGCGCTGTTTACTGTGATTAACAATGACATTTTTCATTTGAGATTATTTCCTCGCCCCCTTCTTGAAAAATTGCTCTCTTCAATTTAAGAAGGTGCTCACTAAGCACTTAACCATTTAACCATCTAAGCCCCGATATCCACTTACAAATTCTCCAAACTGACCTCCATACATTTCCTTAAAGAATTAGTTGAGAGAATTTGATAAAAGATCAAGGCATTTCCCCTGAGGTGATCATTTTATTAAATCTCATAACCTTTTTTTTCTGATGTATGAACATTGCAAGGATGGAAAAAACTGATGTTGGTCACTCTTGGGGCTTAAAGGGTTAATGGCTATTTCTTAGCAAAAAACTTCTTATTTTAACGCTCCCTTATTGAGTGGGTAAGCACTTTGTACTGGCAATCGCATGAGTTAAAGTTAGGGTTAGGGTTAGGGTTAGGCGCAGCAGCGTCTTCAAGAACAACGTCAATGAATCTGAATAAGGGTTTACATATCGCTCTCTAACGACAAGCGACACCTTGCTTACCTACTGGCTAGTATTTTGAAGCTTTATACTTCAATGTTCTTTTAAATAAACTGCGTTTTAAGGTAAGTGTTGTAGCAACAACAAGAAAAGCAGTTACCTGCAATAAGATTTTTCCCGCAGCGAGTACACGACAGGACTGGTCCACCGCTAACAACATCGACTTTTCTCTCCTAAAAGCGACAATCCATTTTAAATGCAGAATATAGCCGGGGGTAATAGGTGGGTGGAGAACTACTGTTTACTTTAGCAAGTATTCACTAAGTATTTAAAGTAGCTCTTCACTTCATACTCCCCATCTATTAGCTGTAGTATGCAGAGACAAAAACCAAGTTTTCGCTAAATGGTTCAGATGGCAATCACCTATCAGAAAGTGCCCCTATAATTGCAATAGAATACTCAAGTAGGAATTCCCTAAAACAATCAGAAGGCTCACTGTCGATTTACAGTGGCTTTGATGGTTAACTCGAAGCTCTACACCCCGTCAACTACCTGTCCGCGATAGATGTATATCGAGTTCATCTTACAATTTGTATTAGGAATGTGTACAAAAGACAAGAACACAAATCCTGAAATTCTGCCATCAGAGTACAGACTCGAACGAACGAGGCGGCCTAGTACAAACTCCACACACTTTTCCAGCGGAGAACGTGACACGAATTTACACTTTCTTTTTCTGCACAAATAAACCCAGTGTAATGATAAATGTCTTACCTTGCTTGTCAATTGTGGCGTCTTTTTTGTGTTTCCACTACTATTTGACGACCTACGAATCCTGGTGCTTCTTCTTGTAGCTTGCCGAACATTGGTCTGTATTTCAGAGACATTCTCCTTAGAGGTAAGTTCACTCTCTCGAGAAGACATTAGAACGTTTGTTTGGATACCGCTTTCAACCTTCGGTTCTACCAATTGCAAGCTACTTTCCCGACCTGCCGTCATGTTCCCTTTTACATCATCTAGAAAGTCGCGAGGCTTTTCTTTCTTTACTGTCAAGGACGGTTCATTGAAGTTACCACCGTTTGCCAATGCTCTTTCAACGGCGTTTTCACTTTTCCCTAGCGAAGGTCCAGAGAATTCATCTTCTTTCTTACACGAATCCACTGAATCATTGCCCAAAAAAGTATTTTGCTTTTCTAAGTTTTTTTCACTTTGTTTATTCCTGACAAGGTCAAGACATGAAGATTTGATATCTGTCGTGTTCTTTTCAGTTTGCGAGAATTTAAACTGATTTGACTCCTGCTGGACCGGAGACGATGAGGGAGTC